GGCACCAGTTGCCTCATCCGTCTAACGTCAACACCTCAGCAACATGCGTTACGACCAGCAGCCGAATGACACGCGCCCCAGGCTCTACGCGCAGCCTCAGGCTCTACCTGGGGACTACAACCAACTCATGCACACGCAACACAGCGCCCTCAAGTATGAGCCCGGCGCGCCGTACTACCCGCCGGCGGCTGCGCTGCACGTGTCGTCGGATTATCAGCCTCCCGCCAGCAGCCCCGCGTCCTCGGCACACAATAGCGCCAAGCGCTCGCGCGAGGAGCTGAATTTAAAGGAGAAGCAGCGCATGTTCAAGCTGAATGAGCGCATTAACCAGCTCAAGACGCTGCTGGACGAGGCTGGCGTCCAGACCAAGAAGAACAAACAGTCCATTCTGGACAACACGTCGCACTACATTGAGATGTTGCGCGGCGACCTAGTGGTCGCCCAGCAGAAGGCCGAGCGTGCCGAGAAGCAGGCCGAGACCTTCCGGACTCAGACGCACAGAGGCAAAGGTGCAGTCGACAAGGCGGTGACCGGCGTGTTCGAGAAGACCACAACACCTCGGGTGGTCGTGGACATGGACATGAAGACAATCATGTTCAACGCCGCCTTCGTTAAGTATACTGGACTCTCGGAACTCGCGCTGAAGAAGAAAAAGACGCTGCGGCCGTACCTGTGCACGGACCAGGAGAAGTTAGACGCCATCATGACGAAGCTGCGCGAGACGAAGCAGTCCTTGAGTGTGCTGGTGAAGGCGTCCGCTACTGGCAAAGATGAAGTGTCTGTCAACTTGATCGCAGCGGTCGTGACGGGTGACAGCGGCGAAGGTGTGAACGTCGAGTTCAGTCTGATTCCTATGGACGTGCAACAATTACCGCAACAGCGACCAAAGCGACAGAAAACCGAGAATGTTGCAAAAGGTAACAAGGCCAAGGACCAATCTGCTATTTACGTGCAGCTGTAAGCGCAACTGCCGCCCATTGTTGCGTCAACTGAATGGCAAACGTTGCGAAAGTTACGACGTTTGCAAACTTTTCATCGAGCAAAAGAATGGATTTTCCTATTTCGTCGTATTTTATTGTCCTTACTGCAATCTAATACCCATTTTTAGATTTTTTTTTTTTTTTTTTGCGTACGGTGTCCTAAGGTTTCGGCTGGTAGGACGGGAAGTCGTTGTAGCCCTTGCCGCCCAGCGCCGAGTTGTAGTACACCTCGTGTCCAGCTTCAGGCTCCACCGGCCAGTCGTTCTGGAAGCGCTCGGCCAGGTCGGGGTTCGAGATGTACAGCCGTCCGAAGCCCACCATGTCCACAGTTCCCGTGCGAATCGCTCCTTCCGCACGGTCCCGAGTGTAGTTGTTGTTGGCCATGACAATGCCCTTGAATGCCGTCTTGGCATCGAACGCAGTGGTGAGACGGCACTTGTCCGTGAAGCCGAAGCCGAAGCCGTCGAGGATGGCAAGATAACCCAGGCCATACGTACTCAGACGCTCCATAGTGTACTTGAACATCTCGTAGTTGTCCTCGCTGCCCATGCCGGCGAACGCACCGTTAGGCGCAAGACGAACACCGATACGGTGCGCCGGCACGACCGTCTTGACGGCCTCCACGATCTCCATCAGAAGACGCGCCCGGTTCTCGAACGACCCGCCGTACTTATCCGTGCGCTTGTTAGTGACCGACTGCAGGAACTGGTCGATCAGGTAGCCATTGGCGCCGTGGATCTCCACGCCGTCGAAACCGGCCTTCAGTGCCAATTCAGCGCCGTGCCGGTACGACTCCACCACATCGGGGATCTCGTCCGTCTCGAGTGCACGTGGAGTCTCGTAGTCCTGTGATTGGTAGTTCGCATCACGCGTGTGGCCACGTTCAAGACGCAGCGCCGACGCCGACACGATCTCGC